AAAACTGATCTTTGACACACAAATGGCCAGAATCACTGTGAGAATTTTCGTTTTTTTTAACTTTCATTTTTTCGGGAGTCTTTTTATTCATTTTCAGGAACTGGATCGATCGATCGACAGATCGATTGATTTCGTTTGTTTCCATTTCTTAACCAAAAAAAACGCAGAAAAACTTTCCACTTTTTCAAGTAAGCAAGAAAAAAATGAACAAAATCATTATTCAAATGAATAATTGAATATCATTTGCCGAAACAAACAAACAAAAATCGATTTTTTTTTTACCAGAAAGAAATTTTCCCGGGAAAAATGTTTATTCTACCGTAAATTTTCCCTGAAAAAGTCATGCGCATTTTCATGATGATAAATAGAAATGTCCAAAGCAAAAAAAGTAGAAAAGTGTTATGATTGATCAAAATATTATTTTTTGGTCAATTCAATCATCGATTATATCGATTGATTTTAAATTGAGTGTAAAAAAATTCTCTTATGGATGATTCAATTTCATCATCATCATTATTTATTTTGTCACTTTGAGTTTTGATTTCTCAATTTTTTCGATTCACAAAACATCCATTATTTGTGCTTCATTTAATTTGCCATCATCATCATCATAATAATAATCATCATTGAATCCATTCATCCATTCCATTAACTACTACTATTATCTAATAATATTCTTAGTTTGTCTGATTTACACTTTGAAAGTTTCACACCACCATAACTTTCATTCATTCAGAATCAATGAAGAATGATTTATGGATTTTTTTTCGTTCCAGTTTTTTTTCGTTTGTTTGTTTGGATGTTTACACACTGAATACAATTGGTAAATTTATCTCTCTTTTTTTGGATAAATGAAAAGAGAGTTTTTTACAACATTGAATGTTGAAAAAGAAACATTTATCTTTCTTTCTTTTTTTTTAAATTCTCTCTTTTTGAAAAAAAATTTCAATTTTTCATTGATTCCATTCTTTATTGATTTAGATCGATTCTTTTTCTTGTTATCTCCCTGTGTGTGTCTATGTAATGGATATCACTTTTTACTTTTTTGGTGTTTCTTTGCTGTGCGTGTGTGTGTTTACATAATCGCAACCAAGAGAATAAGCCAAAAATGACCAAAGAAAAAATTCAAACGTCAAAGTTTACTTTTTTCATATCCATATCTTTTCTCTCTATATATATTTGGATAGTGTTAAGTGTTTGACTTGGTGTTTTTTTTCGGATCTATATTTGCATTGTTTGTCAATTCGATGATGGCGATGATGATGATGAGATTGTCATCTTTTGCCTCTCTCCATCTACACATCCAATGTTTTTTTTTTCATTATTTCATTTGGTTGTTGACATTCAATATTTCCTATTCTCTTTCTCTCGTTGATCTTAGCATCATCATCAGCTTAAAAAAAGTTATATCATT